TGTCCTTTGTGGATTTTTGCTACTCCTCAACCATTGTGCCAAAGATGCTGGCTAATATATTAAACAAGGAAAAAGCCATCTCCTTCCTGGGGTGCATTGTGCAATTCTCCTTGTTTTGCACATACGCAGTCAGTGAGTCCTTTCTACTTGCTGTGATGGCCTATGACCGCTTTGTGGCCATCTGTAACCCACTGCTCTACATGGCCTCCATGTGTGAGAAGGTCTGTGGAGAGCTGGTGTCTTGCTGCTACCTCTGTGGAGTGGTGTGTTCTCTGATTCACTTGTGCTTAGTTCTTGAGATCACATCCTACAGATCAAATGTGATTAACCATTTCTTCTGTGACCTCCCCCCTCTCTTAAGTCTTGCTTGCTCTGATGTTACTATGAACAAGGTCCTTCTTTTTATTCTGGCCACTTTCAGTGAGATCTTGGCCATTGTGATCATTCTCACCTCTTACTTGCTTATTCTCATCACCATCCTGAGGATGCGCACTGCAGAGGGAAGGTGCAAAGCTTTTTCCACCTGTGCCTCCCACCTCACAGCCATCATTGTCTTCCATGGGATAGTCCTTTATATTTATTGCCTACCCAGTTCAGGCAATGATGGGGATGTGGATAAAGTGGCCACAGTGTTCTACACTGTAGTGATTCCCATGCTGAACCCCCTGATCTATAGCCTGAGAAACAAGGACGTGAAAGAAGCTTTCAGGAAAGTGGTTGGATCCAAATTATATTCTTAGAGAAGATGTTGTTAGCAAGACTCAGAGCTCCAAAGTGGAAGTCAGGCAGGTGGGAGTGGGGATTACTAGGCAAGTTGCAGTATGTGAATGGACAGAAGAGATGGAGACAGGTAGTCATGAGCAACTTTTTTGATTCACTTATCTTTCTGTCTCTTAAGTTTAAAAGAGTAGGACTGAAGATATTTCAAAATGTTCAGCCCGCTTCTTCGTTTGTCTTCAATCTGTAATGTATTAAATGGCTATGGGTAGTGGCAGTGTAAAGACAAGGCCTTTAGTCTGCTGTAGAATATTCACAAGTCTAATGAAGAGCTCAAATGGTCACATTTCATTTCAGTATTCCTTATGGAATCTACTACTTCTTTCAAAATAAAATTTATATTACTTTATAATGAAGATAACAACATTGCAAACTGTGTGTAGAGAATGAGAAATCCATACATGTATATGGTTTTTTTTTTCATTTTTTGTCTTATGTTTATTATTTATCATTTTTTAAATTTGTTGGTATCGAAGTGTTCTATGTTATGGAACTTTGGATACTATGTCATCTTAAATAGAGAAAATAATAAATGTTCCACCAGATTCTTATGAAAATTTAATTACAAAAGTTGGGAGTATGTTCAAGGAGTGCAGAATAATTCTTAGAAGATAATAGTGTTCTCTCTCCCTCCCTCTCTCTCTCTCTCTCTCTCTCTCTCTGTATATATATATTGAGAAAATCATTTAAAAACTATTATTTGAGTGGCAGAATTTCTGAGTTAAGCCTGTTCTCTCATTTTATCTTTTCTCCTTATCTTCATGCTATCTCCACAATCCAATGTGGGTGAAATGTTTACTGTCACTTAAATGTTGACTTCTAAGTTCTGTTCATGTTCTTTGCATGTGTCTTTGGTCTTCCTGATATGTCCATTTTTTCACCCTTGCCCCATATACCTAAACCACATCTCTTCATTCAGTGCCTGTTCATATGTACCATTAACACTTTCTTTTTACCTCCATTATGATTTATGTCAATTTCAACATCTCCTATACTTGTTTAAAGGAGGCTTCTCTTCTTATGTCTATAGTAATGCTAGAAAACTAGTAGTTCATAGCTTTAAACTAAAGTCCCAAAGTTTTATACTATATAGTAAAGCATTGTCAAGTACTGAAGGTGTTATGGATATGTGTTCCAAAATCTTGCAAGGTTCTTAAATATCTGTTCCTTGATATAAATGCTATCAGTCATAATCCTGGTTTAATTATAATTTTAAAATGCTATGTCTTCAAATATTTCATGAAAAAATCTCTGATAGGTACAGTTTTTCTGGCAAACTTTGAGTTCATTGCTTTAAACTGAAGTTCCATAATTCTAATGAAGAAACTGATGGGTTTGTGAAATTGTTCACAGAAGTCAAGATGATGGAAGTCAATTAGTGAACTAATTAAAAAGAATTATTGGTTTTTACAATTTCCTTATTTTAAAACACTACTGGTTCTCCTAATGTTTTCCAAATGTAAGAAAATTCTCTCTCTCTTTCTCTCTCTCAAGCTATCTATAACTAATAACTGTTTGGCAAAATGTCATTTAAAACAGAAGTAAAAGCATTTGTTTTCTCCCTATTCAATCCCCCCAAAATTTAGTAACTTTAAGTATTCTTCTTATTATTATGACAATGTGGCTATTTTTATACGTTCAATGAAATTAACTCTCTCTCTTTAAAACAGGATGTAATTTAAAACTTTGGATATAAGATAGCATGTCTCACTTCCAAGTTGCTGATCTCTCTTTCATGTTTGCCCTAATTTGGCCTAAACTGCTGCTTCATCCTGCTGTTCATCTTTTCCCCTGACCTGGGACAGATCACTGAAATAAAGTGAACCAAGATGCTTCTTTCAATCATCATCACCTGGGAAAGAGCCTTTCCAATGCTGAGAGACTTATACCAAGAAAAGTAAGACTTTTTCTATCAAGATGTTGATCATCAATGCCTTGATCATAAAGGTGGAAATAATGTCTTCTCTACAAAAGCGGTTCTCTAAATTTTCCTGGTCTTTAAGAGGGTGATTTTTAGCTTGGATAAGACATCCTGTTCTTAAACAAAGACTTTTAACTGATCAAATATTTTACAAAAGACTAGATGCTTTGAAAGCAGTAATGTCCTGGACAGTTTAACATCAACAAACTCTCTGGACTCAAAATCAAGTATGGAGCAAAATCCCTTTCCCGAGTTTAAACAATTGGTAATCACACCCAATTCACAGCACCTGGAATGATGCAACTGCAGCTGCCCTGAGAGACAAGGACATCATCAGTCCTCACCCTAAATAAATTAAAAGGACTTGCCATGCTAAATGATACCAAATTTGCTTTAAATACTTTGTTCTTAACTGTGCTAATCTGATCTATAGCTTTTGCTTTTTCTTTTAAATAAATAAAATAGGGGGAGATGTAGAGGATTCTTAAAGCAAATGTACTTCACAGGGACTGGTTTTTAAAAGCCATGCAGTTTCAAATATTGACCTTGAGGAGGACTGGAAATTTTCCTCAGGCTATAAAGTCTCTGGTGTAAGATAAAGATTTGTGGCACAGCAAGGTTGCTGGCTCAAAGATAGACTAGTTACTGATTAATGTGTAAAGATACTGGAATATTGCTGGAGGGAGAAAGAATGTTTGCTAAGATCAAGCTTTTGTTTGTGGATCACTTAATTGCCTTAACTGAATGTCATCTGACTTGTTTCACTGAAAGTTACCAGCCTATATTGTTAAACTATAACCCCACCTATGTTCTCTTCCTGCAACTTCCTGGTCTGGAAAATAAATGCAGGAAGGGAATCCCAATTTGTGGTAAATTTCCCAAGGAAGGGATGCCTCTTGCTTGAGGGTTCTGTGGGAGATTAACCACTTTGGGGTTTCTCACTGCTCAGAAGAGATGGGCTTTGAGTAATCCTTTGTGGCTCCATCACCCAGGGGAAGTGGGGTGACAAATCCATGGGAGGCAAAGCAACAATCATATACTTCATTGCGGATATTATAGAAAACCATTTCAAAAAAAATTTCAATTTGATACATTTTTTAATAAAATGCTTTCAAAACATTGTTATTATATTGAATGCTGAAAGAATAGTTGGATTATAGTGTCAGAAGCTGGTAAGAAAAGTTGTATCTAAATGGGAATTGCTGAAAGTGGGAATAAACAGAAAGAGACATTTTGGAATTCCTGTTTTTCATTTTTCCTGACTGAATTTCCAAGAGTTACAAGCCTCAGGATATCAAAGGATAAAAACCCCACAAGATATTGGTGGTAAAGTAATGGAAAAATGAAGATTTTTATAGCATTAAATGAAAAGATTATATGAAATTTTGAATTTAACTCTGAACATTGCACTTAAAACTAGAAAGAGTCCAGGTTAAAGTCCTGGACAATTTTGTTTTGTTTTGTTTTGTTTTGTTTTGTTTTGTTTGTGCTATAAACATGAATGCAGTTGATTTATCCAATCTAAGTCATCCTTCCAGTTGCATATCTTAATTCACTCAGAATAATATCTTAACTACTTTCACACAATTATTACCATATTTTAGGAATGTCTGTGTTCTCTGTGCATGTTTCTGTACCTGTCTTATTTGTTAAATAAACACGTGGTGTAAATTTTGCACTAAAACTTATTTTGAGATGGGTAAGGAAGGCACACATTTAACTGATCCTGCATCCTTCTAAGTTGTTATAGCTCCCTGTATTTATTAAACATAAAGTGTACATGCAACCCAATTTGGGTACTCTTCAGGAAGTAAGGTAAGAATATATTTAATAAATGTTTAACACATCTCCCAAATTATGATAGGGTACAGAAAACTGGAATGATTGTCCATGATCTGTAATAGAAATGGAAACTGAAGTTATAATTAAGGTAATCTAGGCAGACTGAGTCCTCAATTAAGGCAAGAAATGTGGTCAGGGGTAAATTAGATTGAAAGTCAGACAGGAATGTGAAAAAAGAAAAATCAAGAAGGGCATAAAGTATAGTAATCAATGGACAGTCTTCAAGTTTGCCCAAACATTCTAAGTGAATAAGCATGGGGTGTGTGGCTTACCAGTGCACCATGGACAAAGTTTAGCATGTTGGTGATTTGGTCTGACTCAGTTCCAATTATTAACTACAAGTTCTAAGTTATGAGATACATAGCGAGTAAAAGCAGTTTCCTGTATTGATACCCTCTTGGACTGGACACATTTCCCTGTGATTTTGTGTCTAGATCTCAGTACAGATATCAGCTCAGGAAGCTGATAATGTTATGCCCAGTGTATTGAGTAGATCCTCTGAGATATTTAGTACCCAGTGTAAGTAAATGAAACAAACAATGAAACAAATAAACACATAAAAGATGTTTACCTAGGAAAAATCAAGAGGACTAGGTTAAGGATCTTGAAGTATTTGAAAGTCTATATTGTGAAAGAGAGTAAATCAGACTTTTTTTATTAACTCTGTAAATAGAAACATATCTAATAGGACTTGAAAATTACAAGAAAATTCCATACTACCAAAGGAAATCCTAAGATAAATATTGAAATATAAAATTGACTATGATGGTAATGTTGTAGTTTGTTACAGTGACAGGGTTTGAAGATGAGTCATTAGATGTGAGGACAGAAGCTTAAATGTAAGAAATGGACAGTAGAAGCATAGATAATGAAGACTGAACACAAGACATGTGAAGATAGCCAGGAATCTGCATCGGTTGTGTCAAGTCTCTGTGCCTGGGATTAGCAGTGGTAGATTTGATGGCAGGTTGTCTTTGTTACAGACAAGGCTAATGTCCTAGTTCATGGATGTTCTCAAAGTGACGACATCATAGCTATTGGGTTTCCAAGTCTATTTCTAAATTTATTCTTCTTCTTGAGGTTTAGTCATGTGAAATTTCAAATATTCAGACTCCTGCTTAGTCTGAATTTACAAAAGTCAAAAACAAAAAGTTCATATTTTTCAATATTACATATTCTGTCATTTATCTTTGGCTACCA